TCGGAAGCTAAAGGATGCAGAATGGCACTATGCCTCCCATGAGAAAGAATTATTGGTTATCGTCCACGGTTTGTGCCTTTGGAGGCACTATCTGTTGGGGACCCCGTTCGTGGTCAAGACAGATAACACATCTGTTAGCCATTTCATGACCCAACCGAAGTTGAATGGTCGACAGGCCAAGTGGCAAGAACTCCTAGCTGAATTCCACTTCAACCTAGAGTACCGAAGTGGGAAAACCAATCATGTTGCTGATGCACTCAGTCGGAGAGCTGATCTAGCATCGGTGTGCCTACTCGCCACCCTAAGGGGGAGCGAAGTAGCCACCTCCATCAAGGACTAGATACAGGTTCTACTCATCAAGGATCATGCTGCACAATATTTGGTTGATTTGGTAAGACAGAGCAAGACTTGCCAGTTCTATATGAAAGATGGTTTCTTGAAAGTGAAAGAGAACCGACTTTATGTTCCTAAAGGAGGAGATCTGCGAAGGACTCTTCTAGCGGAATGTCATGATACTCTGTGGGCCGTCCATCCCAGTGAGAAACGCACCATGGCGTTACTTCGCCGTGATTATTGGCCTCAAATGGCCGATGACGTTGCTCAGTATGTGAAGACTTGTCTAGTATGCCAGAAGGACAAGTCAGACCACTTCACACAAGCGGGACTCTTGGAACCACTAGCTGTCCAAAGAGACCTTGGGAAAGCGTCTCCCTGGATTTCATCACCAGATTGCCCAGGGTCGGAGATCTCATAACTATCTTAGTTGTGGTAGATCGGTTTTCCCAAGTATGCTACCTTTATTGCTTCCCCACAATATATATCAGCAGAAGATACAGCTCGACTCTTCTTCTCTCATGTCATCAAATATTGGGGCCAGCCCAAAGACATTGTTAGTGATCGCGACTCACGCTTCACTAGTAACTTTTGGACCCAACTCTTTAAGTTCCTTGGGTCAAAGCTGAGTCACAGCTCAAGTTTTCATCTGCAATCTGATGGCCCGACGGATCGGTTCAATGGTATGTTGGAGGAATATCTCCTCCACTTTGTAACCGGATCGTAGAAGAATTGGGTGAAACTTCTGGATGTTGCTCAACTGTGTTTCAATTCACAAACAAAAACGCTTTTGAAATTGTTACCGGACAGCAACCGCTACTCCCACACACAGTCAATGCACCAAATATATCTAAATCTCCTCGAGCTGCTAGCTTCTCAAAAGAGTGGAAGCGAAATTTGGAGATAGTGCGGAGCTATCTTGTCAAGGCTTAAAGCGGATGAAGAGGCATGTTGATCAGAATCGTCGCTTTGTTGAATACCAAGTAGGAGACAAAGTGCTGGTCAAAATTCTAAAGCAATACTTATTTGCGGGGGTCCATGACCCTTGCCTATTGCCAAAATACATTGTACCTTTATCCATTGAAAGGCGCATTGGGAAAGTTACATACTGGGTAGATACCCCAGCTTGGTGGAAAATTCATTTGTCTTCCATGTCAGCCTCCCGAAACCCTTTCGGGAAGACACGGAGGATCTTTCACGGATCCAGCTCACAATACCCAGTATTCCAGGGCCCAATTCAATCGGGAAAAGGCGTGTTGAAGCTATCCTTGATGATAGAGTAATTTATGCCTCAAGGAAAGATCACCAAGAGTTCTTGGTGAAATGGCAGGGCTGTGATGTAGAGGAGAACACTTGGGAGAGGGGAACAAACCTCAAAGCCTACAAGAGCCTAATTGAAGATTATCTTGCAAGTAAGGCGCCGAGGACGTCACCAACTCGGGTGGGGAAGAATGTCATGGGCGGCTTTCTAGCCATGCCCCACGACCCCTTGGGCATACCCCTTGGCGTCCTAGCAAGCCTCCCAATGCCTAGCGCCACGGACAACCCCGAGGTCTTGGCTGCGCCAAGTGACAAGCGCGCATATGCCTCTGTCGCCCCACCGATATCCCTCACCAGGGCCCAACTGCAGGCGGATGCCAATAGCGCCGCGCGGGTAGACACCACCGCGCACGCAGACCGTGATGCCAAAGACTATGCTGCTGACACCGCACATGTTTATGCCTTGTAGAAAGCTAAATCCTTTTCATTGTAAATATAAAGTAGTTTTATTCCATGTACTTCCATTATGTTTCTCTAGTTTAATCAAGTTTAGTCTTGTAGCTTTGGTTTATTTTTTTTAAGCATTATTAGAGGGGATCAAGCAATCAAACTTTCTAGCAAGCAAACAATTCTCTGTACTGGTGTCTCTCCCCCTCGACACCGCGTTGCCTTTTTTTAATAACTTTCAGTAATGCAATCAAGCTTTCTTTCATTCTCAATTCTCATTTCTATACTCTCAATTGCTCTTGACATTGGTTTTTCCGTATGGCACTGACAATCTAGTCTAGCGTATGGAGGGGACCTCAGTTGGCACAGTAACTGCACTGACATTAGTTGCTTAGCCTTACGTCGCCCTTCCAAGGAATCTCAGGAAGGTGCCGCGTAACAGGGGGGATGTTGAGTTGTCCCACATCGGAAGGATTTGAGATCCTTTCTCTTCTTATATGGTCTTGGGAAATTCTCACCTCATAAGCTAGCTTTTGGAGTTGAGTTATGCCCAATTAAATAGTAGGATTTGCACGAAGTGGTTGTACAAGCTTGACTTCCAACTTTCTATAGATCATAAGATTTAAGATAAGATTTCATCTCCACTGACCAAATCTAATAGTTTTCCTCAATAAAAGTTTGTGGGATATTCAATGAAAGACTGCTGCTTGTCATTATTAAAAATTTGGTTAAAAATCGGTATGGTTAAAAAGTGCTTATTGGTTGTTTTTCAGCAAATTCAGAGATCCATCAAGATCATGGAGGCTCTGATACCACTGTTAAATCAAATGCATTTTTACCCATACCAATTTTTATCCAAATTTTTAACAATGGCAAGCAGTGTTGTCTCTTTGAATACCCCACAAACTTTCACTGGTGAAAACTATCAGATTTGGTTAATGAAGATGAAATCTAATCTAGAAGTTTATGATCTATGGAAAGTTTTAATGGAAGACAGACTTATACAACCACTTCCTGCAAATCCTACCCTTGTCCAAATCAAAGATCATTCAGATGAGAAAAACAAAAAATACAAAGCTAAAACTATAATTCAAAATTCAGTTACAGATTCAATCTTCTCTAAAATCATTGCATGAGAGACAATTTTTCAATCTTATTTTTCAACCTTCTGGCTGCTTGCATATTTTCTAAAAATTCATAACAGTGGTATCAGAGCCTCCATTGATATTGACGGATCTCCGAATTCATTGAAAAACAACCATTTTCAACCACTTTTAAATCATACGCATTTTTACCCATACAGATGTTTAACCAAAAATTTAACAATGGCAAGCAGCGATCTCTCTTTGAATATCCCACAAACTTTCACTAGTGAAAACTATCTGATTTGGTCAGTAAAGATGAAATCTTATCTTGAAACTTATGATTTATTGGAAGTTGTAATGAAAGACAGACTTATACAACTACTTCCTGCAAATCCTACCCTTGTCCAAATCAAAGCTCATTCAAATGAGAAAATTAAAAAATACAAAGCCAAAACTATAATTCAAAATTCAGTTGCAGATTCAATCCTCTCTAAAATCATTGCTTGAGATTCTATTTTTCAACTTTTTTGCTGCTTACATATTTTCTAAAAATCCATAACAATTAACAGTAACGGAAATTAAAGTACTTTTTCTTCTCCCTTTTCTTTGATGAAGATATTAATATATACCTTCAATCTTTTATCTGTTTTAAATCCTCCCTAACTACAATTTTCATGTAAGTAGCTAGCGTGCACGTAGTAATTACATTGAACAAAACAACTTATTTACATATGGTTGTCTCGTAGGAAATTAAAGTAAACCAATAATGTTTAAGTATTCAAGAAGAGAAGTCCATAGCCACATTATATTTCAATCCGTACACCTGCTAGCGTGTGTGCTATATTTTGAGGTTCAAGGCCATAACATATATTGGGCTATCAATGATTCCCCTTCAGGGGCGGACGCACACTAAATTATACGAGTTTGGCAAAATTTAATAACTTTTGTTCGAACCCTATGTATATATTAAAAAATTCATTAAATATGAACATATAATAGTTCGGCTGCTAGCGTATAGTTGCTAAAATTCATAAACTTAAAATCCTAGATACAATTATATTTCCCTCCCAAAAAGAGTTGAGCCACTTCTGCCTTGGTAACAAGGAGTTGCTCCTTTAGATATATAAAGTGATTATCCTCAGAGAGGAAATGAAAATAAGTAAGTACTTATTTTGTTGTGCTTGATGAATAAAATGGGATTTTCGTAGTTGCAATGAGTGCCATTGTGTTAATGACTCCTGAGAAAAGGAATTCTGAAAAATGGCTTCGCCCGGACTCGAACCGGAGACCTTCAGTGTGTTAGACTGACGCGATAACCAACTACACCACGAAACCTTCCTGTCAGTGAATAAGACAGATGTTTTAATTTTATTGAGTTTGTTCTATGCTCAAATTTCGCGCTCTCGTCTTACCATGTAACTTAACTTGTCTTTCGTTTTCCCTCTATTCATTTTCCTTTGTTTCTTTTTCCTAAAATGTTATACTCCTATCATACAGGAGAAATGGTTAGTGCGTTAACGATAGAGCATGTCTAAACTTAAGCTTTATGTGGGACTTCAATAGGCACAAGTTCATGATTTTTGCCTTTATTGTATAAAAAAAAACCTTTTTTCTCGTCCATAGAAGAGGAAACAAGCCATAATTAACCATTCTGTTGATAGTTTCGTTTATACTTCAAAAAGTCCAGGCAATACACTTCCCAACATTCTCAATCTTCATATATATACCAGATAAACTCATAGTAAACAATAACAATCCCTCCATCCTAGAAAAGAAAAGTTCTTGTATACGAAGGTCAAACCTTCTAATTTTTTGGTGTGGATGCAGACAGAGATTCTTTATATTTTTTAAAATCATTTAGTAGAACTTGCTCGTTGAACAAAAATAGTCATTGATTAGCCCACAGATTGAACAAGTACATGTTCATCTGATCCATCAAACCTAGTACAAAACGGAATTTTAATCCTAAAAATCTATAAACTAGGAACATGTAAATGACCATTAATAACTACTACACAAACTGACCTTGATCACTTCTCAAGTTCAGACATCTTGCCAAAAAAGAATACCAATATCAAAAAGCCTCCGCGTTTTTCAACTAATGAGACACAAATGCTGGTATTTCATCAGTGATAGTGGTTGCATCACTAGTACTGTTACTGTTAGAGTCATCGTCTTCCGTAATGTTTTGAGGATCTGGGAGTGTTGAAATGGAAAGACTGGTGTTCAAGTTTATTCCAGTACCATCATTTTTAGGTATAACTTGATGGCAAAACCTGTATGAGGAAGGTTTTGAAGGCTCGACAATGACCGAGTCTGAGGCTGCCATTATCTTTTTGGCTCCTCTGTGCATGTGCGTCTCACAGTACTTTTGACGAGGAACAGCATTCCTGCTGCATCTCCATTTCTTACCATCTGATCTTCTGCACCTCTGCGGTTCAGTTTCTGAACATGTGTTACAATTAAACCTCAAGTTAGCGTTGCCTGTCAACAGGAAGAAGCTTACAGAACTCATTTAATATACTCTTTAACATTCTAAGAATATTACAATCAAGATAATGCTGATGAGCTATTCTCAACAATCATCAAAGGTTGCTGAGCTAATAAAGGAAAGTTAAATATAAAAGAAACTAACATCTCCTTCCACCATCACCAGCTTTAATGCACAAGGATAAAAAAAACTAGAAATAGATACACAAGGTTGCTCTGAGATTGAAAATAAAGTCAATCATCATCTTACATATTTCCTCCTCCTTCTTTTTTGATAAAGTAATCATCTTCCGTTTTTTCTAAGACAAGCGTCACCTCTAAATAAGCTATCACACATGCTAGAAAGGGATCATCCTGGATCTCTTTTTAGATATTTGCAACCAAACTACCTTATATATTTCTTTTCAGCTAGTAGAGATGATGCACATCTTGTCCACCACGCTCCTATGCTCTCCTACAGGCTACAGGCCATATAATCATAACAAATCCAAGCTCATTCTCCACCTACTTCACAAAATCCTCAAGGACCTTGAAGTAATAAAAGAACATGTTAATGCTTGCTTCAACGAATTTCATGACTAGCCAACCTAAATCGCCTAAGTAGCATAGAAGACCAAGAAGCTAGAATGACAATGATCCTTCTTCCATGCAGCAACCTAACATCTGGTTTGCCTTTAACCCATCTGCCTACCTATCGGAAGAGGAAGGAGAGGCCGCTATGGTGGAAATGATCCAATAGTTCCATGATGCACCTAATAATTAGTCACTGCTCAGAGGAACTTTAATTAACAAAACCTTTTAATAATCTACAGCAAGACAATTTTCCAGGATTCTTAAACAGATGAAAGAGAAGGCAAAAAATGAAGAGGGAAAGAAGTTGATCCAATTATATAATATTGGGTTTTACCTGTAGTGTGTTGAAGATCAATCTTTGCAGATATACCAAAAACTGGAGCCAAACCACCACTATTCCTAGCATCTCCATAGCTCTGCTTTTGGTTGGTTTTGCTTGGACTAATATGGTTGAAATCAATACTCTTGCTATCAGTGTCGTTACCAGCGATGAAAGATTGGGTTCTTATGCAAGTTGTGGTGTCCTTTCTATTGAAAGTCATGTGGTTGTCTAGTTTCTCACTGCTGTTGCAGGAATTGGTGGGTCTTGGTTTAGCAGATGAATCCTCGACGCTGTTATTTTGGTTATTTCTGCTAGTAGAAGACAAACAAGAAGTTTTACTACTAGCAGGAGCACATTTGCTACCGGGATCATCAGAATTAGCATACAGTTTAGTTCTCTTGGGAGTGATACATATATCATCTGATTTCATAACATGTTCGGAAGCTTCCACAAGCTTTCTTGAACGACGACCCCTATGCATGTGCTGCCCACAGTACTTCTGGCCTGGAATCACATCCCTTTTGCACCTCCATTTCTTACCATCAGTTCTTCTGCACCTCCCTGGTTCAGGATCCATCATGCTTGCGTAATCAAATCTTCCCACTGAAACCAGCACCCATATTAAAAAATTAAATCGTTATGACAATGCTTAAAAATCCTAAATATTCACGAATCCAAGTCCTCCCATTATGTGAATGAAATATAGTATCATACATGGAGACACATTTACTCTAGCCCTAAACTATCAACGAATATTGACAACAGATATGCATTCCCCGCATCAAGCTACCTATGAAGTAAAGATTTTTAGAAATTAAAAGCATAAGAGTAAGCCAAGCTATTGAGTTTTTCAAATTTTGAGCTCATACAGTAGGAATAACGCACCAAGCAATGCTTTCCCGCCATACAGTGGGACGGTGGGAGGAAAAGATGGTGTAAAGTATGAAGACGAGTCACCAAAGATCAATTCTAGTATAAATCCAGGGTAAATTTTAATATTAAAATAAATCAGTAATCAGTAGCGAAGCCAGGAAATTCAATAAGGGTCTTCAAATTTTGAAGACTCTTTGCTAGTGGGCTATGCAAGGGTGTTCAAAGTTTATATTATAATCAATAACAAGTGATATTTTACCCGTATAATTTTTCAGCCAAGGGTGTTCAGTTGATCACCCTTGGCCATACATAACTTCGCCCCTGTCTGTAATCCATAATGACCATCAAATTTATCGTATTCTCGCGCAGCAACTAGGATGCATCTAATAGGGGAATCAAAGAACATACCGGACTTCAGAATATCCGGGGGGGGGGGGGGGGG